AAACCAAGGCAACCAATCAACAAAAACAAGCACCAACCACTATCAACTGGAGAAATTTGAAAGAGGCGACTTCATTCACTTATCTAGGAAGCATTTTTAATGATTATTTTGCTTTGACTTTAATAATCACTTCACTATTATCACTCTCACATGTTCCTTTTCTACCTTTATATCACCCTCTTTAACACTTTTCTAAAGGACACTTCACCACCTTTATTCTCACTCAATAAAAATTTTAACCTTATCAAATTTCTAACGCTTTCTTCCTTTGTGCCGTCGAGTGTTACGTAAATATTAATTGTTATTCTTGCTTTTGAAGCCACTTCTGAGTAATTATGTCAATTATGTGACCTCCTCTCCAATTACTTGTTAATAAATTACTATACACTTTTTGGTAAATTTAAATGCGAATTTACAGCCAGCTTGTGAAGATGATTTCGTTGATAAAGAAAATATTTACTTTTCAATTAGATCCTCATCTCAGGCTCTACTCTAATGTTTTTTATGTGGTTTTGTTCTTTGAGCTGGATGGTTAATTTGCGAAGCTTTCATCACCCTACTGGGTGACATCTTCAGCGCATACTTCAATTTGAAGTGAGCTTTTAGATTTCTCCACGAGTTTATTAATCATCTCTCCTGGTGACCTTGGACATGATTGGTTGTTTATGTGTGTTTTAACGTCTTCTAGGTTACTTGCATTGGAACTGACTGTTTCTTTGACATGAACTTTGACCCTTTGTGTGTGAAGTTTCTTTCTTATTGGTTGATAAATTTTGTCTATCTCGATGTGTCTATTGATTGATGATTCACTGGAATGCCAAGCTTCTAAAAATTCTCTAGCATTCTTGTTGTTTCCTCTGTCTAATATTTGAACGTTGTCCCAGTCGAATTGATGTCCGTGGTTGTCTGTGTGTAGTGAAATGAGGGAGTGTATATCATGTCTTTTGGCGGCTAGCTTATGTTCGTGGATACGAAGACGAAGGGGACGTCCACTTTGGCCAATGTAGTGTTTTTCGCAGTTGTTACAGTTTATTTTGTAGATGATGTTGGTTTTATCTTCTTTCGCTGTTGAGTCTTTTGGTTGACATAGAATTGAGTGCAGCGACTTTGTTGGTTTGTGTACGACGTCAACTCCTAGAGGTTTGAAGAGTCTTGTAGTGATTTCTGAGATATCCTTTATGTATGGTAATGCGATTTTCTTTGTGTTCTCCTTGGTGGCTTTTGCTTTGGTAGGTTGGCTTGGAGGTATATGTTTTTTAAAGAAATTCCGTGGATATCCGTTCTTTTGGAAGACGTCCATGAAATCTTTAAATATTCCCATTTATAATATTAGAACAAGACATATGAGCGAACAATATTGTTTTCAATTAGATCTTCTTCAGGCTTTACTCTAATTTACATAGACTTATATATATAAAATTTTAACCAATGACGGTGATTTAGTGGATCAAATAATAATAGTAATCATAATAATAATAATAGTAGTAATAATAATGTGGTAAATGTTTTGAACGAAGTTAATAGCGATGATTATAATAATAACAAAATATTGTTAATAAGGCTTATATAGGTGATAAGAATAACAAAGTTAGTATATGCATATATGTAGACAATTCAATAAATAAATAAATTAGGCAAGCTCGTATACCATTCAGCCACTGGGACCCGATTCAATCGCTCGTGAATTCTAACTTCTACCAATTCGTGATTTAGCGCGACCCCAACCATTGTCGTTGGTGGGACATCCATCCACACACGTGACATCTAATTGGACCTCACTGGTCACGACTTCTCACTAGAACTCAGGAAACTCCAACCTGTAGCAAGTCACTAGCGAGCATCAGATTAACTTTCTATAGTTTTGGTTTGTAAGGATTAGTTATGTTTTACGAGTTGATCACGGATTGATATCAGTTAGAGAACCATTGAAAACCAGGGAGTACTGGACAGCTGCTGTTTCATCCTAGTTTGGGAATCATCGGCAGTACGCACCCACTGGGTTTCGAACCCGGGACCTTCCGGTTACAAGGCAAGCTCGTATGCCATTCAGCCACTGGGACCCGATTCAATGGCTCGTGAATTCTGCCGATGATTCCCAAACTAGGATGAAACAGCAGCTGTCCAGTACTCCCTGGTTTTCAATGGTTCTCTAACTGATATCAATCCGTGATCAACTCGTAAAACATAACTAATCCTTACAAACCAAAACTATAGAAAGTTAATCTGATGCTCGCTAGTGACTTGCTACAGGTTGGAGTTTCCTGAGTTCTAGTGAGAAGTCGTGACCAGTGAGGTCCAATTAGATGTCACGTGTGTGGATGGATGTCCCACCAACGACAATGGTTGGGGTCGCGCTAAATCACGAATTGGTAGAAGTTAGAATTCACGAGCGATTGAATCGGGTCCCAGTGGCTGAATGGTATACGAGCTTGCCTAATTTATTTATTTATTGAATTGTCTACATATATGCATATACTAACTTTGTTATTCTTATCACCTATATAAGCCTTATTAACAATATTTTGTTATTATTATAATCATCGCTATTAACTTCGTTCAAAACATTTACCACATTATTATTACTACTATTATTATTATTATGATTACTATTATTATTTGATCCACTAAATCACCGTCATTGGTTAAAATTTTATATATATAAGTCTATGTAAATTAGAGTAAAGCCTGAAGAAGATCTAATTGAAAACAATATTGTTCGCTCATATGTCTTGTTCTAATATTATAAATGGGAATATTTAAAGATTTCATGGACGTCTTCCAAAAGAACGGATATCCACGGAATTTCTTTAAAAAACATATACCTCCAAGCCAACCTACCAAAGCAAAAGCCACCAAGGAGAACACAAAGAAAATCGCATTACCATACATAAAGGATATCTCAGAAATCACTACAAGACTCTTCAAACCTCTAGGAGTTGACGTCGTACACAAACCAACAAAGTCGCTGCACTCAATTCTATGTCAACCAAAAGACTCAACAGCGAAAGAAGATAAAACCAACATCATCTACAAAATAAACTGTAACAACTGCGAAAAACACTACATTGGCCAAAGTGGACGTCCCCTTCGTCTTCGTATCCACGAACATAAGCTAGCCGCCAAAAGACATGATATCCACTCCCTCATTTCACTACACACAGACAACCACGGACATCAATTCGACTGGGACAACGTTCAAATATTAGACAGAGGAAACAACAAGAATGCTAGAGAATTTTTAGAAGCTTGGCATTCCAGTGAATCATCAATCAATAGACACATCGAGATAGACAAAATTTATCAACCAATAAGAAAGAAACTTCACACACAAAGGGTCAAAGTTCATGTCAAAGAAACAGTCAGTTCCAATGCAAGTAACCTAGAAGACGTTAAAACACACATAAACAACCAATCATGTCCAAGGTCACCAGGAGAGATGATTAATAAACTCGTGGAGAAATCTAAAAGCTCACTTCAAATTGAAGTATGCGCTGAAGATGTCACCCAGTAGGGTGATGAAAGCTTCGCAAATTAACCATCCAGCTCAGAGAACAAAACCACATAAAAAACATTAGAGTATAGCCTGAGATGAGGATCTAATTGAAAAGTAAATATTTTCTTTATCAACGAAATCATCTTCACAAGCTGGCTGTAAATTCGCATTTAAATTTACCAAAAAGTGTATAGTAATTTATTAACAAGTAATTGGAGAGGAGGTCACATAATTGACATAATTACTCAGAAGTGGCTTCAAAAGCAAGAATAACAATTAATATTTACGTAACACTCGACGGCACAAAGGAAGAAAGCGTTAGAAATTTGATAAGGTTAAAATTTTTATTGAGTGAGAATAAAGGTGGTGAAGTGTCCTTTAGAAAAGTGTTAAAGAGGGTGATATAAAGGTAGAAAAGGAACATGTGAGAGTGATAATAGTGAAGTGATTATTAAAGTCAAAGCAAAATAATCATTAAAAATGCTTCCTAGATAAGTGAATGAAGTCGCCTCTTTCAAATTTCTCCAGTTGATAGTGGTTGGTGCTTGTTTTTGTTGATTGGTTGCCTTGGTTTCCTCTGTCTTCTCTATATTCATTCATCTGCAGTCCTTCCTTCCTTACTGCTTCTTCAGCCAGTTTGTTGATTTTTGGCTGGCTGTAAGTCTTCGAGTTTGCATGATATTAGACACAAATCGTCCAGATCCTTTAGAGCTTTCTTATAAGTGCAGCGTATTCTGCTCATCATTTTCATCCTCCACAAACTGATGCATCATTCAGTCCACCACAATTAGAAATATCATTCGTTGTGGTAATTATCAGCCAGCTTGTCCTGCTTCCGATTTGACTTCAAAAGACACGTGTCATTGTCATATTTCCATTAGTTGAATGGGGTTGATGAAGATATGGGCAGTGTACGTTGTTGTGTTGAAGTCGTTTCCAAATAACATCTCGGTGAACACTGTTTGGTGAAGACTTTTCTGAAGTCGCTGAAGGAATTTGAGGATGAGATATGTCTGACTGCCACCGTATTCATTGTTTAATGCTTAGCAATGGAATTCGATTGGCACATGATTTGCTTTAACTGAATTGGCTTGTATCGGTCGGAGTTCTGCACACAGTGCGTGTGTGTGTCAAATATATATCACAACCTTTTGAAAATGAAGTTTTGCTAACTCACAACGCATCACTACTGATTTCTACAATCTAAAATTGGTCTTTTGACTAATTCATACTACTACGTCTGTTAGTGCGATTCTTTGGTGTATAAATGTGTGCGGCTTTTCTCATGTGACAAGCATAAATGTTTTGTAGTTAAAATAGAGTAAAAGCTTGCTCACATCTTGGCGACAACATCGCCGTCATCACCGATGCCGACATTTATACACACTGAGTATTGAAGTAGACATCACACACGTATAGATAAAGCTACACACTTGAATCCTAAAAATACTTATTTTAATCTTCAAAGCCTTATGGCTTGGCTCAGTGCAGATCATACTTTGTGGCAAGTATATTGTGATGACAACAACAAAAGTTATTTATAACACATACCTACAATCGATGGTTTCACTGATAGTATAACCACCGATAAGACCATGTGCAATCCAAAGCGTGGTGAATCAATCAGTTGAACGTAAAATCAAGCAAAATATTCAGACCAATGAGAGTGTAGTTTAATCCAGTATATAAATTACACCAAATAGGGTAGTATAACTAAGCAGGAGAGTTTGAGTGTGGAATTCACTTCTTCATCTTCTTCACTAGGATATGACAGTTTTATGTCCAAATAAACCAGCACCACCATTCAGAGGGAAAGCTGTCGTTGATGGTGTCTTCAAAACTATCAGTTTAGACGATTATTGGGGACAATATGTTGTGTTATTTTTCTATCCAGCTGACTTGTAAGTTATTAATGGCAGAATGATTTACGTTTTTTATTGGTAACTGTATATGTGAAGTATTCTGTTTAAATGGAGGTGTAATATTTTGTGGTATACCAGTATCTTTTATGCCCTGTGAAACATGAATAGATGTCAGGTAGATGAAATCAACAGATGACTGGTTCTCTGACTGAGGAGGTTATAACCAACATAATCTGCGTCAAGGATGCAGCCTTCCTCACTCAAGCAGTGACGATTTGATATCACCAAAGTAGCTGTAATGATGTTAAGTCAGTGGTCCATTTCAAATTGTCTCAAGCTAAATCCCTCCAAATCTCAGGTTATTCATTTCACTTTCAGACAGAAGCGAGACTTGAATGAGCTGGTTCATTCTCATGACTCTTGTATCGTAGACGGCAGTGAAATTGGAGCTAAGTCAGGTATAGTTGAATGCCTTGGGTTTTGTCTTTTCTCTTGCTCTCCCTCTTCTCCTCACTCTCTCTGTAGTTTTTTGCGGTTTTCTGATTCTTGTATGCTAAATATTTTTCTTTATTTCTTCCCAAACCTTTATCTTTTCTCATCTACTCTGTTACACCAGAAGCTGTAAGATGGACAAATCAGGTACAGCTAAATCGGCTTTTTAGTGCTGCTGAAGACAGCTACTTGAACTCCTGGAAGAAAAATAATGAATATTTTCTTGTCAGACTCTGAATATCTTTTCTGTACACACACACACACAACCCTGCCCCCTTTGTATTACATCAGGTGGAACTAGAATCAATTACAGAAGACTGTTGCTCGGGTGATTAAATTTAAAACTCTAAGCTACCTTCTTTGGCAGGGAATCATTTTGTGTGTTGAGAAAAGTGTAAGGCACCACACAACTGATTTAATGAGGAACACTGGGTAAATGGCCCCCTTTTATTCTTCCTTCGGTTAGTATATAGGCGTTAGTACTTCCAATAAAATTTTAATTTTCATATTTATATTACTATCGCACAATAATTATAGTGTAAATGACCCATTTTAATTATCACCCCTGCACTTTGTAATGTAAAGAGAGAACTAGATGCAATAAATATATACTGCACGCTGAATATTGCACATTGTCTCAGAAGTACCGTTTGCATTGAAGTCATAATTATCATCAGTATTGTTAAAACATTGCTACATCAGTTTGTTGGATTTTGTACAAAGATTCAGCACACAGCACAACACAGAACACACTTACGCTATTACTAACTGGACGACATTTTGGACATATTAATATCGTTCACATTCATACTAGCGTTTGCACAATTCTCTATATATTCAGGATAGGTATGTATGATGTAGGGTCAATACACAAAACTGAATTAATTAACTCCTCTCTCCGTTTTAATGCATAACCTTTAAAATTTGTGTGTGTGTGTGTGGTGTGTAATTACGTGCAATCAGCATAACTCAACTCCTCTCAATCTCACAGTTTGTCTACTCTTGCCTCTGATGTGTTCTTCTTTATTGTTCACAATTATTCTTTCCCGGATTGCTTAAAAAAGACTATGTTATGCTTCGTAGTACACTGAGGACTGTCAGTAGGGCGAGTGGTATCCCATTGGGACATATCGTTGACAGTGTCATTGGTAGGCACTTGATTCCATGTAGCAAATTTACTAAAACGGTTTTTGTCAGACTGTGAGCATCCACCTCGGTAACCTCAGCTTTCACCTTGTATCTCCTCAGCTAGGACAAGAGGTCATCTCAGAAGACTTTATGAGCTCACGTCTAAGTATACGAATACTACGATACCATATTTAGCAGGTATTTTTTCGTGATGAAAATACTATCAGACACGAAATGGTTAACTCACCTACTTTTCACTGGTAAATAAACAATTTTCTCCATCCTTATATAAACAAGTTTTACTTTTATTTTTTCCGTTGTATTTACAGTGTTGTCATTTTTAATATGTTTATTTTTTTTTCATAATTGTAAACAATATTTATGCTCTGTAATTACTGTTATATTTTTGCTTTTCTCCTTACTATGATGTATCACTAGATTCAATACTCTATAACAAGCTAAGATTTCCATACTGTATCGATAATACTGTTTTAAACAAACCCACTGTTAATTTCATTATAGTTATTATTCTCATTTTGTACTTTGCAAATCTTTGACATTATTCCTACTGTAAATGTGGAAATGTTCCTGTGGTTAGATGCAATAGTGTGACAGATGCTGAAAATGCTACTCTATGTATCACATGCCCTATTTTTGGAATATGGCAAATCACATTTATTCTTATTACTATTTTTAAAAAAGTGCATGAATTTTATTGGACGACCTTTTCTGAAGATTATTCATTTTACCTAGCGATAGGGCTAACTCTTTTTCTTCTTCTTTTACTCCTTTTTGCATTTCCAGTGGAACAACATAAGGCTTCAAGCTAAAGGCTCGAAGTTTCGGTAACCATAGTGTACATTTATACAGGATGAGGTTGTTGGCCACATGCCCATATCCGACTATCGACCAAACGGCGGGTGTACTGCTCATCAATCCGCTCCGTCCTTATTTATGGTTGCCTGTGAGACCTGGCCATTGAGAGTGGAAGACATGAAAAGACCAGCTAGCTGTCTTTGATCATAGGTGCCTGCGTTCTATCTCCCGTGTAATTAGGTGAGCAATATTGAGGTTAGGCATCGAGTGCTATGTAAGGAGGGGAAATCAATCGACGAGGCTGTGACATTACATTGACTGAGATGGTTAGGACATGTGTTACGCATGCCTAGTCATCGACTGCCTTCCTCGACAATGGGCAATGTTAGCTGACATAGGGCCAGGCTAGAAAAGAGCTAGCAGTGGTCAAACCAAAACACGGCTTCATCGGACAATGAAATCCACAATAGTTAGTTCAAGTCAGCCATGTAGGAAGGTGTAGACTTCCTAACTGGTTGGGGTCCTTGGGACGGGAAAAACCAATGACAGCTGGAAACAATTGGTGATATGGCTCAAACTCATCGTTCTCAATACCTGGTGCAGATGCATCCACTCCTTGTGATTTATGATTTCCAATGAAACTGTTTCGTTCTTCGTTATTACTATTCCTTTTTCTCACACCTCTGTCTACTGTCTCTATTACGCATTTCTACTTTCTTCTCCTGCTTTGTGTGCTACATGGAGGAAGTGTCGTGACATGAACTGGTGCACATCTGTTCAAAGTTCTATGTCGAAAACAGACAGACAATCAACAGCTGCCTATCCTTTCCACGGAATATTATACGATTGACCCAAAGGAGTAAGCAGCTAGGAATTATTGCAACGAATGAACCCATCACCCAATAAATAGTTGATTGTTCGCACTCTGTGGAGAGTGTGCTGAATGAAACCCCAGTAGGAAACGAATCTCTGATAGTAAGTCTGAGTGCTCGATGGAGTAGATCGTGTGATGAGGAAGAAATGAAAGCTTATGGACATTCGTAGAGCCATCTAAAATGGACTACTGTGAACAGACTAACATGGAGGTGTGATACTGAAGCCTTATTTTTCACTTGGAACCCAAGGGAATGATAATTATACTACTCAGTACCCGTCTATAATGAGCCAGTCACTAAAGTCGATGTAGATGACGGGGGGCGGGGAGTTCAGCCTGTAATTAACTGTCTGTCTGTTTTCAACCTGGAACTTTGCACCGATGTTCAGCAGTTCAAGTCACCACACTCCCTTCATATAGCACACAAAGCAAGAGAAGAAAGTAGAGATGCAAAATAGAGATATGAGACAAAAGGAATAGTAATATCGAAGAACACTATAGTTTCATTTGAAATTATAAGTCACAAGGAGTGGATGTATCTACGCCATTAAGAACTTTGAGTTTGACCAATATCACCAATTGTCTCCAGCCGCCACTGGTTTTTAACACCCAAGAGTACCCCAACCAGTCAGAAGTTCACATCTCGCGATGTGACTAGCTGGCTTAAACTAACTGTTGTGGATTTCATTGGCTGATGAAGTCATGTTTTCATTTGACTATCACTAGCTGTTTCTTTTCCAACCTGACCCTATGTCAGCTTACATAGCTTACATGATTAGGTTTCCTAATGTAGATTTCAACAGCCAGCCTCAGCAATATGTAGTGGACAAACTCTTAAGGTGAAGTTATGATTAGTCAGTATGCAGTAAATGACTTTGAAAGCCACTCTAAAATCAGAGTTGTGTTCTGCATCCACAAGATAAGATAGAATAGCTCTATGAATAGATTTTGTTTGTCTATGCAGGATGGCGTTCAGAAATCTGACGAGAAACACGTCCAATTGTCAGCCTATTTCACGGGCTTCACAGGAGCAGTCAAACTGAAATCCTCTGGATCTGATTATATTTTTATCTTTTGGTAAACTTAGTGGAGATGGTCCAGTGTATTTGAGATGACAGTCTTTACATGGGGATTGGTAAAATTTACATTATTTCGCCTATTTTGGTCATTTTCATACTTACTTTAGCAACGTTTGCTTATCAGTGTGATTTGGTTAGAGTGAATGCAAAGGGCTATTCACATGTCTATAACTTGACATGATTATCAGCAGTAAACTGTGTTTCAAGTGTCATTCAGTTATGCATACATTATTCCCGCATGTGATTCCGCATAAATTTATATAATGTAGAATTAGTGAAGTTAAACTTTCACATTCATATTCTAACTCCTTGTCTTCATAAACTGAACTTATTCACAACAATTTCCACTGAACAAAATAGCGTGCATCTTGATTTTTTTTTATCACCTACAGCACATTTGTGTGTCCAACAGAGATCATCGCATTCAGTGATCAGGTGGAAGATTTCAAGAGTCGAAATTGTCAAGTGATCGCCTGCTCGACTGATTCTGAATACAGTCACTTAGCATGGATAAATATGGATCGGAAATCAGGTGGATTGGGAGAGATGAAAATCCCCTTGTTGGCTGACAAGACAAAGTCAATCTCGAGAGCCTATGGTGTGTTGGATGAAGAGGAGGGAAATGCATTCAGGTGAGTCATAGTGAATAGTGATCAGGGCTAGTGAACACAAGTATCTTGTTTTGGATTATATTGATATATTTGTTTTGCGCATAAACCCTCAAATATTTCAGTGCATCTACCGGTGTATTCATAGTAACCATAAACAGTAGCATAAGACCACTTCAACAAAGTTCTGTTGCTAAGTGTCTGTAGATTGGCTCGTTGCCGAAGTATTGGTGATATATTAGTCACGATTAACTCTTCATTGATTTCACATGTTTGGTATCTTCTACTACTATGGATAACTAAGTCGAAATAGTGCACAACCGTAAGTATGTTGCTTTACTGTGTGCTACGTCATGAAGAATAGGCTCATACAGAGGCATTTCACTGCATTTTGATCAAGGTATTAGGCACAGAGCCTGTAGTCACATAACCCCAAAATGTAACATACACATTCCTAGTAAATATGTGAATACTCAAATTTGTCAATTGATAAGTCCCAGGCTATTTGATATATTACAGTCGATTAGAAATCGATGATACATATATGTATATGTTATTCCCTTGCGTTCCGAGTAGAACATAGGGCTTTAATAAATGTCTCCAATTCGTTCTTCTTTCTGCAGTCCTCTTTAACTGGGTCCACGAATGGCTGTAATCTTCCATCCTCTCCTCACGCAATCTCCTCTATGTCACGTTCGTACCGACAACCCAATCGTCGCTTCCAACGAGATCCCTCACGAGGACCTGACGTGTGATGTCATTTGGCGGACTCCTGAATTTATGACTGATCCATCTGCAATTTCTCCTACATATTTGTCAAGTGATTGGCTCTCGCATGTTGGTTTGTTCCACTGCAGAGTTCCTTGTTGCTTATTCTTTCTGGCTGGCCATTTCATTTTCAGTATGGAGCAAACGGAGCTGTTGATGAAAATCTGCAACAAGCTGTTGGAAATCCTTTTTGTGACGCGTTGGTTAAGTTTCTGATCCGAATAGAAGAACCTACACTGACATCACATTGGTGTTGAAAATCCGATTCTTGTTCCTTACGCTGAGTGCGGTAGACTTCCAAACTGGTTTCAGGTTAATGAAGGCGTATTTTGACTTCCGATTCTGAATTTGACATCTTCATCCATTCCTCCTGTAGTTTAAACTGACGCACAATCCAGTTCACCACAATTAAGAATATCATATATATATATATATATATATATATATTCCTATCCACTATCATCAGACCAAGACCTGGTAATACTGTGTGGGAATTAACTTAACAGCACAGAAATATTATATAACTTTATGTATTTTATTTATATTCCAGAGGTTTATTCATCATCGACAAAAAAGGTATTCTGCGTCAAATAACAATCAATGACAAACCAGTTGGAAGATCCGTCGATGAAACACTTCGACTACTTGATGCATTCCAGTTTGTTGAGAAGCATGGCGAAGTTTGCCCTGTAAATTGGAAACGTGGTGAACGCGGAATTAGAGTTGATCATTAAGTAACGAATTGAAATAATTTGTTTACAGTCGTTTGTGATGCCTGTTTACAATTTTGTCTGATGTCCTCCTTCGGTGTGTCGACTACTGAATATTCATATCAGTAATTTATACTGACAGTTTATTTTAAATAAAATATTATTCAATCGATTTGTTTTGTGTTTTTAAGTTACTATTGCATACGGGCGAATTTACACCAGCAATGATGCCGGTCTGGATTCTTCATCAGTCGCTGGTTGTTCATTTCTGTTTGAATTTCCTCGTATTAGTCTATTCGTCTAAAGGCTGCAATGACATATTCAAATATCCAGGGATTTGGTTGGCTACAAAGCTGGTCTCAGAAGCAATGGAACACCTGAGCGTAGTGGATATCTGTTTCATTCTAGTCTGAGATATTTCAGCAGTACACTTCAACTGGGGTTTGAACCCAGGATTAGTGCTGGGCTGGGCCTGAGCAGTTGCATAGTCAATGAGCTCGCCTTGTAACCACGACGTCCTAGGCAAGAACGATAGGTAGTTGAATTTCAGATTTTCCCTTCGATTGATTGGACTGAAGTCCTCAGTCCCAGGTTCACATTTTGGCTTCTTGTACAGATGCTTCGACGATGTCTGGGCATGCAATTAGAATTTAATTGTTGGATGATGACTAGCAGTGGCATTTCGTCCTAGATTTGAGCTTCGGTGGGAACATCATCAGCCACTGGGGAATGCAGGTACATCCAGTGGACGAGTCCCATCCTGAATTCAACTGCTAGTCACCATCCACCAGTTCAGAACAATATTCGTAGCGGTCACCTGCACTATCTTGGACAAGGAGCCGAGTAATTTAATCAGGAGGTCAGGCAGGCGATTTCATGCATCATTTGTCGGTGGCACAGTGGTTAGGACTCTCGCCGACCATGCACATGGTCCAATGTTCGATCCCCTGCCGACGCACACCTGATATCTATGGTCAACCTGCAAAATTTTGGCTACCGATATCCATGCTGAAAATTCCATATTTGTACTAAAGTATAGTGTGGAATCAAGCTGTAATCAAAAAATTAAAAATATATATATTCGCATTTTATTATATTATTATTTTGGTATATCCATTTGTCATCAGCCAGTTATACAAATTTAGTTTATGCTCAGATAACATTGAGCAGATTCCTCTACAGATCATAATGTGGGTAAATTCATTGCAGAAACACAGAATGGAGTGAAAAAGCTGCGCACTTATACTGTCTTTGACTTCAGAATGTGTCACAACTCACCGTAAAATACCAGCTATCTGACCAATAACCCACCAACCCAAATTCATCCATTTTGATTGACATCATCGATCAAAAATAAATCAAATAAAGGGTCATAGATATCGACACTTATATAAATGCCATTCCCTCGCCTGGTGAAACACAAACTAAACTTTCACTAATCTATGCGGTGACAAAGAGAGATTATTGTGCACACAATCACATGTGCACAACAATATGATCGATAAATAACATAAAAGCTACAAACCGCCACCATAATAATAATAATAATAATAGTAAAAATACCAATAATCATACAAATGAAATGGATTTCTCATAATATTAACAACAGTAAGTCAATATATTGAGATCGATGAAGTCAACAACTCAGTATATAGAAGAACTGCAAAAATGCATTGGAAAGAATGAGAGTCGTTGACCTGGTGGCATTGTTAGAACGGTGAACTTGTAGACGAGGAAGAGTATTTAGGATTTAAATGAGTTGATACTGGTGATTGAGTAGTCTTGATGATTTCGGTTCTCGCCTCATTGAAAAATGAAAAGAGATTCTCCATATAGTCGGCAAACTTCAACAATAGCGTCCCAAGTGATGGCAACGCACGAGCGACCTTCAGCCAACCAATCATAAAAATGAGGAATTTTCGCACAAAATTTGACGTATATTCACACGCAAATGCATGAAAACATATTAAACACTACGGCGATGGGGATAGCTTCTGGCCAACGAGTGAACCAGTCGACACATGCCGACAAGTAAGAGTGGCCATTTGATGGGTATGGGGGACCCAGCAAAGTTCAGGAGTGCGAACTCATGAATGACCTTCAGCTGTATTCACGAAGATGACTGCAGATAAACTGCTTTTGTGAATTGCGTATCTCTCTCATCCTCTTTGCAGTCTTCCGAAAAAGCCCGCGGTTGAATTATTATGGTTTCCAGCAAGAGGATAGATTACTGGTTACCAGGAAAACGTGGATAATAAAACAAATTAAAATAAATTACATCGACTATAAATCTATCCCTAATCGCAACCCTAACCGTAATCCTGACCCTTACACTAAACCCAACCTTAATCCTAACCCTAATCATAACACTTATTCAAACCCTAACCCTAATGGCAATTATAACCCTGATCCTAATCCTAACCCCAATACTTACATTAACCCTATTCCTAACCCTAAAGAGCTGTTAACACATTGTTCAAACAGTACTTAAAAACGTGATCTGGGTGAAATTTGCTCTTAAATGAATGAATAGCGTTGATATTTGAGCTATGATATTGACAGATACCGTTAGCCAATGACTAGCATGCCTTCAAGGTCATTGAAGCGTTAACACTCCTGGGACGCTATTGTTGAACTTCTCCATAAAGTCCTGGGAGCTGAATGATCAATTGGCAAACCTACCAGAACATTTTGTATTTGATCCTCAATGGGATCATGAATGCATACAACCAAGGAGTGTCTGTTTAGGCTGAAACAACTGTCTGTTATTCACTGGTCTCATACATAGGCGGTTAAATAGCAGAAGGCCCATTACTCAAATAGAAGATACAGAGGATTTTCAGAGAAGGAGGAGTAATTAAGATTTCATTGAGTCGACACTGGTGATTGAGTATTCTTGATCATTTCAGTTTCCGCTTCATTGAAAAATGTACTGAGATTCTTCAGATAGTCCATAGAGCTGAATAGTCGTTAGACTCATCTCGTAACATGATGTAGCTAGGCTCAGTCCGCTGAGATGGCACTGATGTATCTCGATGAAGCGTCCCAGGCCGAGATGGAATACTTGTCCAGTGGTTTTGTTTATCAGCAGTTCAACAGCAGAATGCTTAGGAGATACTTGGGAGAATAGGGTTGAACACTTTGACGACGAACGCCCAAACGTCGTTTAGTTCACTAGACGGTAGTAAGCCAGGAAAAGATGGGAGGTTGATAGTCGTGTTAACAACCTCATTCCATGAAGGCAACACATATAGTGTTGCAAAATATTGCATTAAAACTATGCGAATTAAATAGTTATTGCAATTACACGTGATTGTTTGCAGGAGTATGAGTGATTTCTGGTGAGATCATGATGGTCTTTAGTGGCTCTCTTAATGATGCCATATAATGACCTAACTCGAATTCAATCAAACTCCTACGAAATACCCTTTGAAAATTATTCCTGCGGTGGCTAATGACTTGAATACAAGATAAAGGTATCTAGAAATCCAGTGAGAAGCCATTACCAGTGGGATCTAGCCGGCTACTTGCTTGAGGTGGTGCTTTATACATTGTATAAATATTATTCCTTGTTACTATTCCCCTGGGTTCTCAGTGGAATATATGGCTCCAATAGTATATATTCATTTTGTTCTGTTTGCTCTGGTCCTGATTAGCTGGCTTCATCAATGCTCAGAGGCGTTCATCTCCTGCTTATGTGATATCCTTCATGTGCCCTTAGAATACATGATTAACTTACTGTTCCCCATTAGGTTCAGCTTCCGATCGATCTCCACTTGCTTCAAGATATTTGTTGAGCAACAGGTGCTTGGTTGGGGCTTTCTTTCTTGTTGACTGTCTGATCTCCATTATGCCGTTGGGCAAGGTAGGTGTTGATAAAAGTCTTCAGTTTGTAAATGGATATAATTTTTGTGGTTCCAGTACCGAATCTCTGAACAGTATAGAAGAACCGACTTAGCAGTAGTGTTGAAAATCCGAATTCTCTTTTTAATTTTGAGTGCAGAAGATTTTTAGATGGATTTCAGATTGATAAAATTCTGTCTAGGCTTTTCATTTATGGTTTTGACATCTTCATGCATGCCGTCTACATTTGAAACAATGCTGCCTGGATAGATAAGTGAAGTGAACGACTTCTTTCTAATTGCTTACGTCGATGATGATTAGCTCTTGTTGTTGTTGTTGGTGGTGGTGGTGGTTGTTCATCTTCAACACCTCTGTCTTCTTTATGCTCAACTGAAGTCCAATCTTTGCTTCTTCTTTAAAAAAAACTGTTGACTTGTACTGTTATATCCTCTTCGAATCAGTATGACATTGGACATAAACCATCCACGGAATTCATTATTATTATTGTTCCCCTGGGTTCCTAGTGGAACATAGGGCTTCAGGTGCACGTCTCCACTTGCTTCTGTCTTGCTTCCGCTGCACTTTTCACCTGCATCCATGTTAGTTAGTCCATACTGTTTCAACTCTTCTTCATACGATCTCCTCCATGTCACCCTCGCACCAACGTCCCACTCGCCGCTTCCCTTTTGGGTTCCACTCGAGGGCCTCCTCTCAGCTTCGTTATCATACCATCCATCAGGATTTTGATATCGCCATTTGAGACGTTGTCCATAACTGTTTGTAGTTGTCTGTAGAACGCCTCCTTCTTCTCTTGTTGTGAGACGTTTTTAGGCGCATAGCATTGGATGATTGTAACCTTCCTTCCTTCCTTCCTTTTGAGTTGAACCTGGCTATCATTATCCTGGAGGAGATTGGTTCCCACTGCATGAGAGCTTTGGTTGCTGTTGGTGACATCGTGATGGCCACTCCCTCGGAGTGCTCGTGATTGTCCTCTGGATGGCCGGAATAGATTATTGTCTCCCCAGTTGGTAGTTGGCACCTTCCATATCCGTTCCATCTGCTTTCGCAGATCCCCAACACTTCTATTCTGTATCTCCTCATTTCTGCTGCTACCTGGAAAGCCTTTCCAGTTTCGTACATTGTACAAAAATTCCACATCCCCATCCTTATTTTTGCTTTCATTGAAAGAAAGCACATCGGCTGACTGACTCCCCGAAGGCTTTCGCCAGCCCGCGTCATTTCACTTCCTCGATTCCAGAGAAAAATAAGGTTATTGTTTATATTTTTAGAATTTTTAATATATTTGAGCGTTAAATTTTCTGTAGCAA